CATCACGGACTCCTTAATCAAAGAGGTTTTTTCTCTATGAATGGCCTTAAAGCTCCTGGTCCAGATGGATTCCCTGCTCTTTTCTTCCAAAAGAATTGGGATTTAGTGAGATTACAAGTGTTTGATTGTGTTAAGTAGGTTTCGAATATGCCAGAAATGGTGGGAGATCTAAACAAAACCCATCTTGTCCTTATTCCCAAGCTGGCTAAACCCGAAAAAATCAACCAATTCAGGCCAATTGCCTTGTGCTCTGTTATCTATAAAGGAATCAGTAAACTGATTGTGGGAAAGCTGAAGTCGCTTCTAGACAAGCTAATATCTCCACAACAAGTTAGCTTTGTCCCTCATAGACAGATCCAGAATAATATTGTTATTGCTCAGGAGATGGTCCATTCAATGAACAGAATGAAGGGGAAAAAAGGTTTTTTGCAATAAAAATTGATCTAGAAAAAGCTTATGACCCGATGTCCTGGAAATTTATCCACAAAGTGTTGACTGAGGTGAATATTCCAGTATCTCTGGTTAATCTAATTATGCAATGTATCTCCTCAACTGAAATGGAAATCCTTTGGAATGACACTAAGGCAGGCAGTATCTCCCCCAGCAGAGGCCTAAGACAGGGTGATCCAATATCACCCTATATTTTTGTCCTTTGTATGGAGAAACTTTCCCACTTAATTGCGGACTCTTTGGAGAAGAAAGAGTGGAAGCCAATGAAAGTTGGAAAAGGTGGGCCTTCCATTTCCCATCTTTTATTTGCGGATGACCTGATGTTATTTGGAGAAGCCAACATTGAGAAAATAAAGACAACGATGAGCTGTCTCAACAATTTTGGCAGCATGTCTGGTCAAAAGGTTGGCTTCCTTAAATCCAGTATATTTTTCTCTAAAAATGTCCCTCTGGACTATGTAGCACCGATACTGACACGGGACACGTGACATGATACGACCCGACACTCTGACACGTTAATTCTAAAAAATGTTAGATTTCGACACGTTATGACACGTTTTGATATTAAATAATATTTTTAATTTATGTAATCTATATTATATTTAATATTCAATAATTTAACAAAAAATAAATATAAACTTATAATATTCATAAATTTTGTAAAGAAACATAAGATATCTCAAATATTTATATTAAACTCAATAAAATGGTAATCGCAATTCATTGAATCTAATAGTTGAAACTAAAAACTCAATGCAACGCAACATTTGAACCTTTTTCTGAATTTTTATAAGGCGTATTGGAGTGTCGGAGAGTGTCGGACACGACACGTCAGAATTTTTGAAGTGTCGGTGCTTCATAGCCTCTGGATGTTGCTAATGCAATAGTGGAGATCAGTGGTTTTGCTCACACTAAGAACCTGGGAAGATATCTGGGCTATAAGATGAAGCATGGCAGAACTAGCAAACTGCACTATGGAGAATTAATGGATAGGGTTAATAACAGGCTCCAGGGCTGGAAGAAGCAATGTTTGTCAATGGCAGGAAGGATTATTTTGGCTAAATCAGTTATGTCAACCATTCCTATGTTCAACATGCAAAGCAGTCTTCTACCTATGGGAATTTGTGAAGAGATTGCAAAGGAAATTCATTTGGGGAGACTTTGATTCCCAAAGGAAGTACCATGCAATTGGCTGGGATAGCCTCAAGCTTCCAAAATATCAGGGTGGCTTAGGGATTATAGATCTCAGACAACAAAATGAAGCCTTCCTCCAAAAATGTGCCTGGAATATTATTCAATCCCATTCGCAACTTTGGGTTCGGGTCCTATCTCTAAATACAGAAGGAATATGGATTTGATGAAGGAGGTGACTTGTAAACCTTATGATTCCCACTTATGAAAAAGCCTATGTAGGATATGGCCTAAAATGCTCAGCAATACTGTTTGGCAAATAGGAAATGGGAGCAAAATAATCTTCTGGACAGATGACTGGATAGGAATCAACAGTAACCTCCTCTCTCTCACAGCTAATCCTCTTACAGATGAAGCTTCTGACCTCAGAATTAATCATAGTAAATTTTTGCTCAGAGGAGGGATGGAACATGCAATTCCTGCTAAGCCACTTTGACCAAAGCATTGTTAATCTGATCCTAGCCATTCCTCATCCAGAATATGGTGTAGGAGAAGATACAATTGCTTGGAAAAACTAGAATCCAGGTCTCTCCATAGTTAAACTTGCATACTGCAATCAGGCCCTTTCAACCACTGTTCCATCAAATAACTGCTGGGATCGAATATGGAAGTGGAACGGAAAAGAAATGATTAAGATTCTACTCTGGAAGATGCTACATGGTAGAATGCTGACAAAAGAAAAATTAGCTAAATGGAGTGGAGGGTCAAACAGTTGCCATCTCTGTCCGGATAAAGTGGAGGAGTGCTTACATGTTTTTAGGGACTGTTATATGGCTAAAAAGGTTTGGCTTTTACCTATTTTTCATCCTCTTCCTCAGGTATTTTTCAATTTGGGCTCCTTTTATGATTGGTTACTCTTAATTTGCATTTAAAATCCTGTCATGAAAAGGATTGGAGGGATACTTTTTTCATTGTTTGTAATTCCCTTTGGATTTGGAGGAATAAAGAGATCCATGAAGATAACTATAAGAGACCTTTGGACCCATCAACTTATCTAGCAACTGAAATCGAAGAAATCTGGTGTAGTAAGGATACCAGGAAAAAGGGTTTCCTTCGCATCCCTCCTTCTATCAAACCCGTAGCTTGGATAGCCCCTGATCATGGTTATTTCAAACTGAATGTGGATGGTGCTGTGGATGGAGAGAGGGCTGCCTGTGGAGGCCTTATAAGGGATAGTAATGGATCCTGGATTGGTGGTTTTTCGGTGTTCTTAGGTTCCTGCTCCCCCTTATTGGCTGAACTATGGGCTGTCTGTCATGGCCTTGTATTTGCCTGGAACCATAGTTGGAATCATATTATTTTGGAATCCGACTCTTCTCAAGCTTTAAGTCTTCTTACCCATGATGGTAATGATACTCGAAAGCTAACTTTAGTTGCTAAGATTTGAGTTTTCCTGCAAAAGGATTGGACTATTCAGTTAAATGGTATCCCAAGGAAGTTTAATATGTGTGCAGATTGGATTGCGAAAAAGGCCTTGGATGGTCCTCACTCCTCAGGGTCTCACCCCAATCTCTTCTCCTCACCTTGATCTCCTTAACCTTCTAGCTGCTGATATTCTGGATCCTGGGTTTGCTGCTGGTGTTAACTAGGAAATGTGTAGATTTTCTGATTTTTTAGTTTTATCCGTTTCTTCTGTTTGTTTTTCTGGTTTTTTGTTTCTGTCAGTTTTCCTTCTGTTTGTATTTCTGGTATTTTTGGTTGTTGTTTTCTTGTTTGTTGGGGCTTAGCCCGTATGAATACCAAAAAAAAAAAAAAAACAATATTTGGAAGCTTATAAAGTGGGCAACTACAATATCAAATGGGCTTTGTTGAAAAAATATATAAATCAAAGGGGTTGCTGAAAATAAATGGGATATTAGGGGTTGAAAAATGGTAACATAGAGCTCACAATATTACGAAACTCCATAGTGAAAAAGTAATGGAAATGTCACAAAAGATAAAATTGCTCTTATACTATATTGAAAATTCTACAAAATTGAAGTTGATTTAATTGTGGAAAGACATCTATAAATAGACGCAAAGTTAATGAATACATTTAATTTAAATAACTAACATATATCAAAGGATAAAACATAAGTTGTTTACACAATGTAAATGTTAACTTATCCTTATTCCTAATATTTTTTTTGTCTTTGATCAAAACTTTCTAGTTCTACATTTGCTTCACTAGCCAACCTATTCAGCTTTTTGATTAAAGCATTTGACCTAGTCAATTGACCCAGTCAATTGACCCATTTCACCTGAGTAAACAAGGAAAAATCTAAATCGTCGTAGTCGTGCCATGTGTACGGAGAAACCCGAGCAAATAGGAAAAATCTCGAACAAAATGAAAAAAAAAATAAAAAAAATAAAACTTAAACCGGAAAATGAGTCATGGTGACGTCCCATGTCTAATAATAATAATAATAGTCGTAGTCTTCGTAATACCATGCGTGCCTTTTAAATCTACTGTGCTAAAAAAAATGGGAGTAGATCCTCTTACGTGAAAAAGTTGTCATATGATCATGTTATTTGATCACAATCACTCATTGATAATGAGATAAAAGAGATAAAAGTATATAATTTTGAAATGATTGACTGTGATATGACCACATGATCACTCTTTCACATAAGAAGATCCACTCCAAAAAAATATATTCCAAACTGGATCGCCAGCAGGACTTTTATTTTTCAAGTCGCGTGCGAAAGACAACCATGCGTCATGAGGAAAGTGGCTAGTGGGTCAGTCATAAATCGTCGTTGGCTATTACTTTCTGTAAACAAATTTCACAATTGTTTTGGAATTTCGATGCTAAAGTTTACATTTTTTCATGTGGGACAACGTCAACGAGAGAAAAAGAGAAAATAGGCCGACACATTTTAGGTGTTGAGGATATGTGATAAACACAAAAACGAATATAAAGGATAAATATTTTCGTACTTCAGAATCATGACTTTTAAAAATATAGTGGAAAAATCATTTTTTTAAAAATATTATTTAATAGATCAAATATTATTGAAATTTTATTTCAAAAAAAGTGTGAAATTTTTCCAATAACTGATATTCTAAAAATACCATCTATTTGATAATATTCTTGAATGATATTTTGAATTTTTTTTTTTATAAAATCTCAAAAAATTAAATTAATTTTTTTAAAAAATCTTATACTAAACATAAATAAATAAAATTGAAATATATTTTCTTCTCTCTCACTGCAAAAATCATCTTCTCCTGTTACTCTCAAATCGAAACATGCTCTATTTTTTTTTTTTTCATTTAACTTGATGGCGCCCACTAAATTTCTCTCAAAATGCTCTCTTCTCTGACCGCAAAAGACATATAAAACCCAATAAAATTACCATTATCATTTTTTTTTTTAAACTTGGTTATCACTTTAAATCTCAAAAAATTGAATCTACCAAACACCCCACAAAATCTAAATCCTTTCACTTGAAGTTCATAGCTCTTCCGACAGTGGCAAAGCTTTGTTTTCAGAAAAGTGAGCTTCTTCTTCACGTACTATAGTTCAGTTTTCATTCTTATCTTTTTCTTTTTCTCTTTCTAGAAATGTAGTTTTTTTTTTTCCCTTGAGAAAATGCAGGAAGGTTAATTAAAAGGAAATAAATTTTGAACTTCGAAATTGTTGTGTGATGTCATGTAATCTATTCTGTGGGGTGAATTTGTTCTGATTTCACGTCTATTAATATTTTTTCTTTCCTCCTCCACCATTTTCGATTTATTTAGTCCCTTCTTGCTGAATGAAAGCTATGGAATTCTAATTTACTGATTGTTTAGCAAAGAGATAACCCGAAGTTGACTTTTCATTAAATAAAAAATAATAAGTTTGACTTTAATTTGCGTATTGTTTAGTATGTCTAATATTCAATATTACTTTTTTGGTTGATTGTTATTCAGAATTATATATATATATATATATATATATATATATATATATGGACTTAACATTTTTGCAGCAGCCGTCGACACTGTTATCTGACACAGAAAATGGGTCCAGGGCTTTTAAAATAAAAAAAAACTCAAGGATCCGTTACCGTATACTAGGATCCGGACGCGGATCCTTGCTTGCTGTAGGTACAGAAACTGCAGAAATCATCTTGCCCATATATATATGGATCCGGACGCGGATCCTTGCTTGTTGTAGGTACAGAAACTGCAGAAATCATTTTGCCCATATATATATATATATATCTATATTATCAGTAGCAGAGGTTCCTGCTCCTGTTGCAACTGTTGTTGTTGAGTAGTTGTGAAATTGAGTTTTCCTTAGTTTTGTTTCATTTTTATCACCATCTCAGTTGTTTTGGTGCGTTAGAATGGATTTTCTAGCTATTGAGAGCTATCAGATGATTACAAGTTGATTCTCAATTATCTATTTTTCACCTCCAGGGTTGATTAATTGGAACACCAGAGTTACTCTGATGACTTGTTGCTCTCATCTTTTCAGAAAAAAAGGGTCTTCGTCAGCCATACGATTAAATGGAGTTGATATAGGTATACTGCTAAGCAATATTGTACTTTTTTCTAGTATGCACTTGCGGTCAGCGTTCCATGAATGATATTCTTCTGCTTTGTGTAACTTTTTATTCAACTGAATTGTTCTAAAACTTAATCTGATAATCCCATTTGATTTTAAGCAAGAATTATCTACATGATTTTATTTATTTGGGAAACAGCCTCTTTGTAATTATGCAAGGGTAAAGTTGCTTACAAGGATTACCTCCACCCCACACTCGCTAATCGAGTTTAACGGGAAGTGGTTTTTTTTTTTTTTATTGTATTAATTGAACTTTTCTTCTTGAGAAAAGGTTTGGTTGGGTGATGTTGTTACACTAATCTAGGATGCAAGCTAAATTTATCTGAAGCATGAGCCCAATTTTAACATGCTATGTTTTTATTGGCAGATAATATGCAAGACTTTGATTCCAAATGTTCTATTTTTAAGTCAAGTTAATATATGTCTATATATGCTGCAACAGATATTTCAGAAATTCAGAATGTGAATATTTACACTCACAAAGAATTGCGAATTGCCACTGAAGGTTTTAGTCCCGCAAACAAGATAGGGCAGGGAGGTTTTGGATCTGTCTATAAGGTGATTGCAGTAGTATGGTATCATCTAGAATTTTCAAAGAATTCTTAGCCCTACTAAATTACTTAAAAAGATATGGTTTTGTTTCTTTCTACATGTCTTTTTTAGTGACTTATGGTTGTGCAGGGAAAGCTGAGAAATGGTTCTCTGGTAGCTCTAAAGGTTTTATCAGCTGAATCAAATCAAGGGGTCCTGGAATTCTTGACAGAAATCAAGGTTATCTCTAGTATAGAGCATGAGAATCTAGTGAAGTTGTATGGATGCTGTGTGGAGAAAAACCACAGGATTTTGGTATATGGCTATCTTGAGAATAATAGCCTAGCACAAACACTTTTAGGTACGTGAATTGTTATCATTTTTTTTAGATATATGTAAAGAACCTTGGGATACACCACTCCAAAAGCTAGCTCAAAGGGTGGGAGTGTCCAAGACCTTATAAACTCCACATTAGTTGCACATGCAACCAATGTGGGGACTATATATCTCAACACGCCCCCTCACACGAGAGCCTATTGGGCTTGAAGAGTGGACAATGCAACAGGCCCAGCCTACCTGTGCTAAGAAACGCCACAAGAGAAAGTGGGAGGCGGCGAGGCTCTGATACCATGTAAAGAACCTTGGGATACACCATCCCAAAAGCTAGCTCAAAGGGTGGGAGTGCCCAAAACCTTATAAACTTCACATTAGTTGCACATGCAACCAATGTGGGACTATATATCTCAACAAATTTATAAAATAATATGTTATATATTGATCTAATTCAGAGAGTTACAATATATAGAGACTCTAATGGGCTTGTAGGAAAGGCCAAGACCTAATACAATCAGAATAATTACAAACTAATCATATCTAATCAGATCTATCACATCTAATCATATCTAATCAGATCTAATCATATCTAACACTCCCCCTTAAGCTGGTGCGTATATATTGTGAGCACCAAGCTTGTTACAAATGTATTGAACCCGAGGACCTCTAAGAGCTTTAGTGAAGACATCCGCGAGTTGATCAGAGGAGTTGACGAAAGCAGTCTTGATTTCTCCGGAAAGGTGAGAGAAGGGCGAGTCTATCTGTGCTGGTTTCACTGGAAAAGTCCACCGGAACAGTGCTCACGCGGTCGCGGACGTGGCCGTGGACAGGGTGGTCGTGGACAGAGGCCTCGTTGCAGTTATTGCCAGAATCTTGGACACTTTGAAGAACGCTGCTATAGGAAGTACCCTCACTTGAAACCACCGACTGCCAACTTTGCTCAGACTGATGTTACACCACCTTCCACTGGATCAGTAACTCTTTCCAGTGCCAAATATGAGGCACTTCTCAAGAAGGTTTCCTCTCAGCATCCCACTCAAGACACTGGTAATCATATTGCTTGCCTTTCTCAATCATCTCTAGGACCTTGGATAATAGACTCAGGTGCTACTCATCACCTTTGTGGTAATAAGGATCTTTTCACTTCACTTTTTATTCTAATAATTTACCCTCGTTACTCTTGCTGATGGCACTAAGGCTCCTGCTCGTGGAATTGGGGAAGCCAACCCAACTCCCTTTTTAGCCTTGACCTTTATTTATTATATACCCGACATTCCTTTTAATTTAATCTCTGTTAGCCAGTTGATTCAGTCTCTTTCCTGTACTGTTACCTTCTCTAAACAATCCTTCTCTATGCAGGATCCGGGTACGGGGAAGACGATTGGAGCGGGCATTGAGTCACGAGGTCTTTACTATCTGATTGCACCACTTTCTCCAGTAGCATGTTCTCTCACAGAATCTCCTGAGCTACTTCACAGTCGTCTGGGTCATCTAAGCCTCTCCAAGCTTCAGCATATGGTTCCTTTTTTATCTAGTCTTAAGTCTTTAAATTGTCAGTCTTCTCAGCAAGGAAAGTAGACTCACTCCTCCTTTGCTAATAGAGTCAATAAAAGAGCTGATGCTCCCTTTTCTATTGTTCATTCTGAAATTTGGGGTCCGAGTCGAACAATGTCTGTTTTGGGTTTTCAGTATTTTGTCACATTTATTGATGATTTCTCTCGTTGTACTTGGGTTTATTTAATGAAAAATCGTTCTGAATTATTTTCAATTTATCAAAAAATTTGTGCTGAAATAACTACTCAATTTGGTGCTTCTATTCAAATCCTGCGCAGTGATAATGCAAGAGAATATGTGTCTTTTGAATTTTCTAATTTTTTGGAGAAACGTGGAATGATACACCAGACCACTTGCCCACATACTCCACAACAAAATGGAGTGGCTGAACGTAAAAATAGACATCTGGTTGAAACTGCACGTACCCTACTAATTCACATGAATGTTCCACTCCGTTTTTGGGCAGATGCTATAATCACCTCTTGCTTTCTCATCAATCGCATGTCCTCTTCCGTACTTAATAATGAAGTGCCACATAGTGTTTTATTTCCAGGAGCACCTTCCTATCCTCTACCTCCACGTGTATTTGGATGTACGTGCTTTGTTCATGATCTTACTCCAGGTAAAGATAAGTTAACATCCAAAGCTTTCAAGTGTGTTTTCGTTGGATACACTCGTTTTCAAAAAGGGGTACTGTTGCTATTCTCCTGATCTCAAGCGTTATATTGTTTCGGCTGATGTTCTTCCTGTTCCTTGTCTTGATTTGTCTTTACCAGTTGCAGATGAATCTATCCCGGAGGAGCTACCCCTTGCCTCCATCCGTGAGGAACGTCCTTCTCTCACCTATCAGCGTCGTCAGCCTGCGCCTCCAGCAGATTTGACTCTTACTGACTCACCGCCTGCTCCAGTCGACTCTTCCCCTCCGGATCCTCCATCAGAGATTACTCCCATTGCCCTTCGCAAAGATATTCGATCCACTCGCAGCCCTTATCCGCTTTATAGTTTCTTGAGTTATGATAGACTTTCTTCACCACATTTTACTTTTGTTTCTAGTCTTTCGTCTGTTTCTATTCCTAAAACCACAGGTGAAGCACTATCTCATCCGGGTTGGCGTCAGGCGATGATTGATGAAATGCAAGCACTTCACTCCAATGGCACCTGGGATCTTGTTCATGCTCCTCCTGGAAAGTCAGTGGTCGGCTGTCGATGGGTATTCACTATCAAAGTTGGTCATGATGGCACTGTTGATCGCCTCAAAGCTCGTTTGGTGGCCAAAGGTTACACTCAGATATTTGGTCTTGACTATGGGGATACTTTTTCTCCTGTTGCCAAGATGGCATCCGTCCGCCTATTTCTTTCCCTTGCTGCTGTTCGTCACTGGCCACTCCTTCAACTTGACATCAAAAATGCCTTTCTTCATGGTGATTTGCAAGAAGTTTACATGGAGCAACCACCTGGTTTTGTTGCTCAGGGGGAGTTTGGAAAAGTGTGTCGTCTTCAAAAATCCATATATGGTCTCAAGCAGTCTCCTCGAGCATGGTTTAGTCGCTTCAGTTCTTCCGTTCAGGCGTTTGGCTTAATCCGCAATAAAGTTGATCATTCTGTATTTTATAGGATTATATCTCCTGACAAGTGCATCTATTTGTTAGTCTATGTTGATGACATCATTCTCACCGGAAGTGATCAAGACGGAATTCGTCAGTTAAAACAGCATTTATTCAGTGCATTCAAACAAAGGACCTTGGGAAGCTGCTTTACTTCTTGGGAATTGAGGTGGCGCAATCTAGACAGGGCATTTCTATTTGTCAAAGGAAGTATGCCTTGGATATCCTCGAAGAAACTGGTATGTTGGGGAGTAAACCAGTTGATACACCCATGGATCCTAATGTCAAGTTATTGCCCGGACAGGGGGAGCCGTTATTTGATCCTGGACGTTATCGGAGGCTAATTGGGAAGCTCAATTATCTTACTGTGACTAGGCCAGATATTTCTTTCGCTGTTAGTACGGCTAGTCAGTTCCTTGATTTCCCTTGTAATTCACATTGGGATGCTGCTGTGAGGATCCTCCGATACATCAAAGGAGCACCAGGAAAAGGTTTGTCGTATTCAGATCAGGGAAATACAGAAATTTGTGGTTATTCAGATGCTGATTGGGCAGGATCACCCTCGGACAGGCGCTCTACTTCCGGCTATTGTGTCTTCTTTGGAGGAAACTTAATTTCGTGGAAGAGCAAGAAACAACCTGTAGTTGCTCGGTCTAGTGCAGAAGCTGAGTATCGTGCAATGGAAAATACTACCTGTGAGTTAATCTGGTTAAAGCAGTTGATTCAGGAACTTCATCTTTGTGAACAGAAACAACCCATGACACTTATCTGTGATAATCAAGCTGCGCTACATATATCCTCTAACCCTGTCTTTCATGAGAGGACCAAACATATAGAGATTGATTGTCACTTCATTCGAGAAAAGATTCAATTAGGAGAAATCACATCTAACAATATCAACGGGTGTCTGAAACACTAACGGGTCCTACTAATCCGGTTTCGGATTTGAACCTCTCCACCCTTCCAGAAGTTGTGACTCTTAGGAATTGAACCCAACTATCCTTTGCACAGATCAATCCTAGGGTCTAGCTGGACACCACTAGACCAACTACTCTTGCGTGTGAATTGTTTTCATTTGATAATGAATGTATTAAAATTATCCTAGTAGTAAATTGATACTTTTAATTTCATAGGTGGAGGCCATAGTAGCATCCAATTCAATTGGCATGTACGAAGGAACATTTGCATAGGTGTTGCCAGGGGCCTTGCATTTCTTCATGAGGAGGTTCGCCCACATATTATTCATAGAGACATAAAAGCAAGCAATGTATTACTTGACAAAGACCTTCAACCTAAAATTTCAGATTTTGGCCTTGCAAAGCTTATTCCACCAAACCTGACTCATATTAGTACACGTGTTGCTGGAACAGCGTAAGTTCACGATTCTGTCTTCCAAGTGCTGGAGAATTTTTATTTCGTTTATACTATGAAATTTCAGATTTTGGAATTTTCAAGTCTATTAACACTTTTTTTCTCTCCATTTTCTCCCTACCATGCCCCTGTTTGGTTTTGTAGTGGTTATGTGGCACCTGAATATGCAATTAGAAATCAAGTGACAAGAAAATCAGATATCTATAGTTTTGGAGTTCTACTACTGGAAATTGTTAGTGGGAGGCCTAACACAAACAGACGTTTACCTGTGGAAGAACAGTATCTTCTTACGAGGGTAAGGATTTTTCTTTTTGCAAATATTGAATAATTAAGAGCAATTGTATGTAGTATAGGATTTAACTTTTATAGTGTGACTGAGTAAGTTATATATTCCATGAGATTTGACATGTATTGATAGAGAATATTATTCTTGTTGCTCCTTCAATGCCACTTCACTTTCTTTTTCCATCTATTAGTTTAAGATATGGTGTTGTAACCACATCAAGTACTCCCATCTTGACAGTGAAAAATAATATGTTGAAATTGGGTATCAATCGTTTGAAAGAGTATCATTAATTAAATAAAACTGCAAACGGGGAAGCCATATTTATACCTTATATTCATCCCATTCTCTACTTTATTTACTGTTTTCTCCTTATAGTCCTTTAAGCTCCCATATTAGCTATCTGTAACATTTTATATACATGAGAAGGGCGGGTTAAAATGTTGACCTTTAAAATTGCAACTTAGAAGACTAGAGCTAATGGGTGAACCCTCTAGATTTTGGCCTAGAGTTGCTATATTATCGTGGAAACAAGTTATATTTGTTCAAATGACATGGTTGTATCTGTGTTTTTAGTTGCATTCTTAATCTTTTTACTGTCATTAAAAGAGTATACATTAGTGTGACTAGCCAAGAAATTAATTACTGTGTTTGCTATAAAACATGAAATTAGTCAATAGGGATGCAATGTAGTCATTTTAAGTGAATGAGCTCTTGTAGTGTAAAATTTGTACAACATAAGAGATACTTAACCTGGGAACGTTTTCTTTTTTGGTGTCATGGACTGAAATCCTATTCCCTCACAGATGATGTCCCTCAAACTTTGGAATCTCAATATAGTTTCAAAGGTTTGCAGCCAACTGCATATAGATCCTTTCTCATATAATATGGTTGCTGGTAGGATATTTAATGCCCATTACAGCTTAGTAGATGGGAACTCAACTTTTGAGAAAGGAGTGATAAAATAATGTATCTTTCAGGCATGGGATTTGTATGAGAGAGGGAACCTAGAAAGACTGGTGGATCCTTTTCTAGATGGAGACTTCAATGTTGAGGAGGCAGTTAAGTTTTGCAAGATTAGTCTTCTTTGCACACAGGATTCTCCTCAGCTCCGGCCATCTATGTCCACTGTGCTTGACATGCTAATTGGGGGAAAATATGTGAGTGATGAGAATATGACAAAACCAGGCATGATATTTGAATTTGTGGAAGCCATGGTTGAAGAAGGGAAACAAAAAGGCAAGGCTGAATTGGATAGTACATCTTTGTTGGCTGGTTCAGGGAAGCAAGATGATTCATCTTCATCAGGAACGGTGAGCTCTTTTGCTACCATGACCTTCACTGCAATTTGTGATCGAAGCAATTAATTTGGTTGTTATTAGGTAACCTTCAATCGGCCCTTAGTGTTTTTCCTTTCCCCCTATATGTAAAGTTGCCTATCTTTGCTTCCTTTTTTTTAATTCAAAACAATGTAAGTTTTTGTTATATATCTTTTTCTCACACAGAGAGGGCGAGTCTAAAAGCGATAAGGTTGCTTCTTGTGATTGGAAGGTCACATGCTTAAGTCTAAGACACAGCTTCATTGAAAAAGTGCAAGGGTAAGATTGCGAGAATCGACTATCACCCCTATTCTTGCAAATCGGGAAACCTTGTGCACTGAGATTTGCCCTTTTTTATCTTCTTCTCATACAGACATACTATATTAATCAATGATGATGAACTCAATTTTGGAATCCTTCAGTCATAAAGAGACGAGCAAACTTTTTGTAATATAGGACTGTCTGTGGTCTAGACCATGTTTCAAAGTATTTTGAATCAGGAGATTGTCTATTATTGGCTTGGTTGTTTGTGGCCCTTATGCTGTTCTTTGTTAAGAATAATGCTACTTCCATTTTACTTGCCTAAGCATGGAAATCACAATCCTCTCAAGAATCTTCTCAAAAGTAGAGTTGCATTTTTTGGTAATTTTATGTGTCATTAAACTTTCTCCTACCTTTATTGTGGTTGGATTTTGCAGTGTAATATTCAATTCTGACTTGATTGTTGTGTTCTATTTATAAGTGTCTACATTTTCATAATGCAACTGTTTTATTCCAGCTAATGGAAACAGAACTTGTTTCTGTTCAACCAGAAGAAAAGAACTTAAATAATCCTGTTCTCTAACAATCATCCGTCTTTATTTATTGGTAATTGTACAATAAATTTGTACTAATAGCTAAGAAAGCATGGCCTTATTGTAGATACATGCAATGGTGGAGATAGGGTGGGGTGGTCCCCCCCTCCCCCCTCCCTTCCCTTTTAAGTCCATGCAAACCTTTATCTTGGACCTGTTCATATTTCAGAAAAAAGGTAGTGTAGTATAAGGTGTCCTCTCAAACCAGGGGTGGGCCGAGGGAGGAGTTAGCATCCGCAGTCGCCCCTCCCTAAAGTTTAATCTTTATTTTATTTTATTTGTAAAATAATATTTTTTTTTTAATAAAAATAGACTATTAGTATTGATAGTTAATTCCTCCCTCAAAAATATTTATAATGTTTCTATCTTTTATTAGTTTTAATAATATTTATATTTTTAAAATCATATTCTTGTCCCTTGTTATAAAAATTTCTGGATCCGCCACCGCCTCAAACTCACTCTTTTAGCTTTTGTCCTTATTATTCCTGATGTACATATAAAACTCGGATAGTTTTTCAAATTTGATTATATATGGATCCACTATCGTATTACCTGCCCAAGTTAATGTAACTTTTGCTTGCTTTGCCCCTTTCACTAAATTTTCTGCCTTTAAATACATGTGATGAAGAGACCATAGTACTTACACACAGGAAGTTAAGAATCAGAACAATAAATATAGCAAGGTTCCTTGTTTATTTGCATGTAAACATGAAATTTGCTCATCAAGTCATCAGTATTCATCGATGAAAAAACAAATTAAAAAACATAAATCAAAGCAAGAACTGTAATAAGTGCTTATTACTGTCGCAAACCTGGTCTATTTTCTGATTACGTAACATCTGAATCAAAGAATAAAAAAAACAAAGCACTCTATACCCCATTATGAAGCCCGATACACTGTTGTCTTAAGAACTCAATTCCATAAAATCTGCATTCTCTATTCCCAGTTTCAATGTACCGATAGCTATATTGCATATCCCTTGAAAATTAATATCACAAACAAAAACAACACCTAAATACAATCAGCATATGGCATCATCATCCTAATAATAACTTCTATCTTGTGAATTTGTTTCATTTTTTAGTGTATTCCCATCGATTTAATATGCTTTCGCTCATTTATTTTGTTGATGGTTTAACATAAGAGATTTTATCTCAATGATGGGTTTCATCTTTAAAGCATTTCCTATTAAATTTATAATATATTTTTATCTTGAAACTTCAATTTTCCTATATTTTTAAAGGGTCAGGATACTTTGATACCGATGTTAAACTTTGAAATTTTACATCAAATCCTAATCGAATATTTCTGCTAATCAACATTTATAATTCCAGTGAATCAAACTTATTAATTAATTATTAGTTCCTAATAAATTATAACCGTTGATTGGTGGAAATTAACAGTTAGAATTTGAGGTCAAATTTTAAAGTTTGACACCGATATCAAAGGATCCTATCTCAATTTTCAATGATAATTAGATATCTTTTAGGCTTATTGGAAGTAATTTAAGAAAGATTTAATTTATTTTTGTTCTCGAAAATTTCCTCTTTTTTTAAATAATAAATTTCTATGGGAAAAAAATAAACTCTTATATTTAATTATTTAGAGTAAATGTTGATGTTAAACTTCAATTATTTTCTTTTAATTTCAAATTGTATTCCATGGATAGATTGCTGATCAACATAACTGATCAAACCAGATATGGAGTGGGCTGGCCAAACTGTATTAAGCCTGATCACACACGGTTGAGATATGGGTTTTAGTGCTTGGTCTTGGGCCTTCAGTCAGGATGGGATCAAACTGCGTATATGCCCTTTGCGTTAGCACGTTAAGTCTGACTGGGGGGGTACATGCGAAGACACTCCGATGCTTAAGTCAGTATCAGAGGCAGGTGATGTATGTTGTTAAATGTAAAGGATGATCGTACTTGGGTGTTGAACCCTTTGTTTATATAGTAGTTATGATGCCGCCTTAGCAAGGCGGCTTGGCTTCTGATTGGCCAAGTTTGGGTTGTAGGTCAGTACTAGGATCTGAGTTGCCTTATCTTTGTTAGTGCCGAGTTGTAGAGTCGCGGTAAGCTGGAGCTGTCCGTTGCTTATTGGCATAAAGGTGCGGGGGATTGCCTTGGACGTTAAGTTTGCTTACTTGAGGGGGTTTCATCCGCGATATGGTTATCGCGGCTTGTCTGTCGCGATGAGGGCATTGCGGCTTACGCGCGTAGTTGTCTGTCGTGCTTGCTCTGGATCCTTGGTGGGTTAGGCTTTTTCGTATGTCATTGGGCCTATATTTTATTCGGATAAGTTGCCCCCTAGCTGGTGGTTTTGTCATATGGCAAAGCCGCGAGCTATTTGCTGTTTAGAAGCGCGGTAGTTTGTAACGCATGTCCTTCTTGTGTGCCGCGGTAATCATGTTAAAGTGTTTTCATGAGTATTAGCCGCTTAAGAACGGTGGATTAGACGTTTAACTGTCAGAAGCATTAAATGCTAGTGTTGTTACGTTGGTGTTTAGGGGTAAGCGTGGGTGGTTTCTGAAGTGAAAAAGCTTCCTCTTCCTGCCACGTGTCCCCTCAAATCCGTTTAACACAACACGTTTTGGTGCCCTTCAGACTATCCGTTTTGAGAAAAACCTTTCGTATTTGTACTGAGCCTTTGCTTTGGAGGGAAAACTACTCAAAGCGTGGGTTGTTTTTGTGAGAAATTCTCTGCTCCTCAGTGCTCATTTTCTGCATTTCCGGTGTTGACACGTCCTGCTAGTGGTGTTGCTAATCTGAAGTATAAATCTCAGGTGTGTTCATCTTCTTCCTTTACTTTTTCTATTTTTTGTGTATCTCTAGTTTGGTAGTGTACCTTCTCTGTACTCAAGTTATGTCTGATAATCACAAATGTACGGACTTTGTCAGATTTTTCGAACGGTCTGGCTCGTCCAGTCCTCCTTCGAGATCGTTACCTAGGTCAAGGTCTTTGGGAATCAGAGAAGTGTGGTCTACTGATAAGTGTGTTGCTCCCTGTCCCAAAACTTGTGGAAACGACAGACGTTTCCCCTCCGTTCATGGTAGGTTTGAATTAGGTTCATCATCGCAATGTTTTAATCGCGGACGAGTATTGTCTCAACAAAGTTCGTCTTTGTTTCCCAAGGTTTCTTTAAAAATGACTGGGCCCATAGTGATATCGAGTGATTCCTCTTCGAGTATTGAGGATAGCTATAAGTCAGCTGATTCAAGAAGCCCTTAATCGCCTTCCGTAAATTTATCGCGCTATTCTTCGTGTCCTATCACGCGCGAGTCTTATGGTCAGAAGAGCCCCAGTCCTTTTCCTTTAAATGTAGTATATCCAGTCGGGTATCCCTTTAAGAAAAGGAATTTTGATCATTGTAGACCTACATTTGCTTCTTCTTCTGATTTGTCTTCCTCTACTGATTCTTCTTCTTCTGAATCAGACTTTGTGTCTCCCCAAATCAAGGAAATAATGGCAAGACGTGGTGCGCATGAGAAGAAGAAGCTGAAAGCGCAATCTGACGCGAAGAAGAAAGTCTTACGCATTAATCCCGATGGAGAATCTCCTGTGAGACAAAATACACGGGATGAAGATTCCCTGAGTTGGGTGGCGGATACAGTATTGGATACTAAGTCTGTGTTTTGCTCTCCAGGAGAGTTGGCGGAAGTAACAGCAGCTCTTCACCTTACACCTGATAAAGCTTTTGACGATCAGTGAGAGATTGGTGTTGTCCCAAAGAACGAGCGCGTTTGTTCTTCGCGGGAAGAAGGATCAACCAGACATTTTATGATGATGTACTCCTATTTCTTTTTGTCCATAGGAGTTCGTTTTCCCTTTTCCTCTTTTGTCTGTAGATTGTTGGCGCATTTGAATGTGGCGCCTTCACAACTGACCCCCAATGCCTGGGGTTTTATCAGAGTATATGAAATGGTCTGCAAGGCCTATAATCTTTTTCAATCTGTAGAGTCATTTTTGTACATGTTCAGTGTAATGGGACTGCGTACTAGCTGGATGTCCTTTAGAAGTAAGGTGAAGTTTTGTGAATCATACTGTAGGAAGATCAATAAGTGGAGTGCGGAATATTTCAAGATTTATCTCGCCAAAGGTACCAAACCTTTTTTCCTAGGAGATGATAGGAATCCTATCTTTCCGTTATACTGGTTCAAGTATCCTTCGAACAGCGCCATCTTGAGCTATAATTTTAGTGACTTAGGTGACCTGGAGCAGAAGACTGTGACCACTTTGAGTAAAATTGCTCGTGAAGCTTCTGATACGGGTTCTTTAAGCACGCACACAATTTTGAACGAATATTCTGACGATGATATTCGAGCTTTTCTGGTAATTTGGATCCTTACTCATTTCATGTGTGTTGTAATCGAAGTATATTTGTATATCGCGTTGTATAAATATGTTGTAGGAATGTCTAAGCATGAATTTCTTTGTCTTTTTTGCAGATAGTGCAATGGCGGCTTCTTTGAGTAGGTACGAGAAGATTGCGGCCATGCACGGTATTACTAAAGCTAGTCCTTCTGTGCCTGCCAGGCCTTCCCCATCTGCGACCACCATGATCGCGGAATCAAGCGAAAAGGTAGCCGCACGATCGAAGTCGCCAACGCAACCATTAGGTCCCCCTGCTGCCATTGTGGATGTCATCCCTCCTGCACAGGGAACGAAAGATACCGCCATGGGGAAGAAAAGGAATTTTGAAGAGATAGCCAGAAAATCCAATATAAGTTGGCTAGATCTCGTTATGTGGGTGAAGGTTGGGAGTTTGACAAGAATATGTACGCCAAGGGCAGAGAAGTAGGACCGCACATCGAAGCTCTTTCAAGAGAACAATGGCTGAAGACTTCTCAAAATCTGAACATAGCGAATCAATTCATAATGTCTGTTCCTGGTAAGTAACTTACTTTTGTGTCATATATTTAAATATGCCTCGGTACTTTTGATAATTTTCCTTCTTGTAGCAGGTTCGGTGGATTTCCTGAAAGAACATATTGCTGCGTTGAAAGATGACATCTCCCAACAACGCGCTGACTTTGAAGAGAAGTTGAAGAAAATTGAAGAAGATGTAGCCAAAATGAAAGCAAGTTTGGTTGAGAAGGACAAGACTTTGCAGGAAATGACAACCTCCACCAAGGAATTAGAAAAGGAGAAGGTTGATATGAGGAAGCGCGTCATGGAGTTGGAAGGGAATGCAGATTCGTGGGCAGAGGAGAAGGCATTCCTGACCAGCGAGGTTAAGAGGTATCAAGGCTTATTTGAGAAGGAGGCTGCGACAACCTTCGCTAATATTATAGATCAAGTGCGCTTCTTCAACCCGTCGGTGAAGTTGGACAATGTCTGTTATTATCATTATTTTAAGGATGGCCAACTGATGACGCTGAATGACCAAGATCAAGAAGTTCCTGTGGAGCTAATTAACGCGATGGATACTGAGACAATCGTGTTGTCCATGCAAGAGCCAACTTCGCAAGGACCGACTACCGTGGTTAAGTATCGCGCGGAAGGCGATGATGGTCCTCAAGATATGTCAATTCAGACAGTGTGATTTTGTTTAAAATTTTTTCTGAATTGTTGGTCTGTAAGGGTGGTATGCCTAATTTTTTAAGACAATGCTGTTTTTCCAAACAACAGGATAATGTTGATCATGTGGGTGCTATTTAAGTTGTGATGGTGCTTGTACTGTTGGTTGCTCTTTATAAACGTGTGATGACTGTGTATCATGTATGTGGCCTGGCGAAAAGCAGATGTGATGGCATCTTACCGCGCTACCTGCGCGTTTGTGCATTCATATGATGTCAGAAGTTGATTATCGACGAGGAATATTACCCTCCTCGTCCTTCTTCTCTTTCTTGCCAAAAGAATACTTGGAGTGTCATTCGAGATAATGCCACCAGAGTTCATATGTATTATGTGTCTTCCGTGTTTGCGCAATAGTTCAGCGCATTTGCTTTTTTGGCTAGAATTGAGGCTTGTGTTTGGTAGGACACTTGAGAATCATAAGCAAATATCTGTGATAATTAATCAAAGTATAATGCGTATATCTTGCGTACCGTTTGTTAGTTGGTATGTCTTCTATTTGTAATTTGTGGAGCGTGTCAGGCATATCGCGCTTTGAAGGAAGTTTTAACCAATTAAGGTGTTACCTTCCCTTCATTCTTTTTGATTGGAGGATCCTTTAGAAAATCCTGTAGATTGAAGGATCCTTTTGGAGGATCTTGTTGCTTGAAGGATCCTTGTGGGGGACCCTGTTATTTGGAGGATCCTGTTACTTGAAGGATCCGTGTGCAAGACCCTGTTATTTGGAGGATCCTTATGAGGATCCTGTTACTTGAAGGATCCGTGTGAGGGACCCTGTTACTTGGAGGATCGTTATGAGGATCCTGTTACTTGAAGGATCCGTGTGAGGGATCCTGTTATTTGGAGGATCCTTATGAGAATCCTGTTACTCGAAGGATCCATGTGAGGGACCCTATTACTTGGAGGATCTTTATGAGGATCCTATTATTTGTAGGATCCTTATGAGGATCCTGTTACTTGAAGGATCGTTATTGGGATCCTGTTATTTGGAGGATCCTTATAAGGATCCTGTTATTTGGAGGATCCTTATGAGGATCCTGTTATTTGGAGGATCTTTATGAGGATCCTGTTACTTGAAGGATCGTTATGGGGATCCTGTTGAGCTGGGAACGTTGTGACCCTGTCCACTTATGCGCGATGTAATATGTATCAATTAAGGAGAAATTTGCAATCTTTATTGGAAAAGATAAAATGGAAAGACAAATATGCGATGAACAAGAAAAGACTTAGCTATAAAATATCTTAAGCTTGTCCGCGTTCCATGTGCACGGGATAGTAAGGCCAGATAATGTCTCAATGACATATGCCTCTTTATCCGTTTTGCTGTAGACGCGATATGGACCTTCCCAATTAGCGGCCAGTTTGCCTTGTCGCGCGTTCTTATTGCCGATGTCTGCTCTTCGTAGGACTAAGTCGCCTACGTTGAAACTTCGTCTTACAACCTTTAAGTTATAGCGCGCTGCTATTCTCTGCTTGAGTGCTACTTCCTTAACATGGGCAATTTCGCGCATTTCATCAATTGCGTCTAAGCTATAGAGTAATGCCTGTGAATTGCTGTCTTCATTTGTGTACATCCTTCGCCATGACGGTTCTCTAATTTCAACTGGAATCATGGCTTCATTGCCATAAACCATGCGGAATGGGGTTTCTCCTATTGTTGAATGCTTGGTTGTTCTGTAGCCCCATAACACAAAGTCTAATTGTTCAAGCCATTCTCCTTTAGCTGCTTCTAGTCTTCTTTCCAATCCAAGCTTCAAAACTCGATTTGCAGCTTCTTCCAATCCGTTGGTTTGTGGATGTTCGACAGATGTGTATCTGTATTTGACATGAAAATCTTGAAGTAGTTGATTAAATTTTTTGTCCACAAACTGCGTACCATTATCAGTATGATGGTGTGTGGGACGCCAAACCTGCTTATGATTTGTCGATAGAAGAATCGGCGAACCTTACTGGCTGATATCGTAGCTAAGGCCTCTGCTTCGATCCATTTGGTAAAGTAGTCGATCGCTACTAGCAACCATTTGACCCCTCCCGCAGCAATTGGGAATGGTCCCAAGATGTCCATGCCCCATTGATAGAAAGGCCATGGGGATAATATTGAAGATAATTCTTCTGGGGGAGCATGGTGTAAGTCTGCGTGCTCTTGACATTTGACACGGTGCCGCACGTGTTTTTTAGAATCCTCTTCCATAGTGGGCCAAAAATAACCTGCTCGAAGCAATTTTCGAGATAAAGATTTACCTCCCATGTGATGTCTGCCAATTCCCTCATGTACTTCAGAGATTACATACTGAGCTTGTTGCGGATCGAGGCATTTAAGCATCGGAGAAGAAAATCCATTCTTGTACAGCTGGTTGTTGATGATAGTATAAAATGACGCTTTGCGCGCTAGCTTTTTTGCTGCACGCGTTTCTTGTGGTGTCTCTCTTTTGTATAGGTAGTTCCAAATTGGTGTCATCCATGTATCTTTATCATCAAGTGGCATGGTGTCATCTTCGACCATGGAGTGCGCACTTTGAGATGGATGAGCTTTTCGTTTAGTTACAACCATTATAATACTAGGATTGGGGACGCTTTGTTGGATCACTGATCTATTGTTTCCTGGTCCTTTCGTGCTGGCTAACTTAGACAGAATGTCATCACACGAATTTTGCTCTCTGGGGATGTGCTCTATTTTGAAGCTTTGAAACTCTGCTAGTAGTAATCTTACTTTTTCCAGGTATTTTATCATTAGTGCTTCTTTCGCCTGATAGCTCCCTTGTACTTGTGCAATTACTAATTGCGAATCACTCTTGAGGATTATATTTGTTGCCCCCAAGTCTTTAGCCATGGCGAGTCCAGCGAAGACTGCTTCATATTCGGCTTGGTTGTTCAGACCATCGATGGCATGATAGTCAAGACAATGACTACTATTCAACATCCCCAGGATTTGGAACAGGTATTTCAGCCTATGTAGCACCGATACGACACGCGACACGTGACACGACACGACACGACACTCCGACACGTCAATCCTAAAAAATTATGGATTTCGACACGTTGGGACACGTTTAATATTAAATAATATTTTTAATTTATATAGTGTATATTTCATTTAATATTTAATAATTTAACAAAAAAATGAAACTAAATTAATAATACCCATCAACACGTTATAAAGATGGAAGCTTTAATAAAAAAAATAAGAACTGGGATGAGAGAGAGATATAATATCAGATAGAGAGATCAAATCATATTAGAGAGATCAGAGAGAAGAAGATACAACAAGAGCGTGATAGGAATTGACAACAATGATGCTGAAATGATCTCTTATCTACTTAAGGGGAAAAAAGACAAAAAGATAAAATTGATATGATCAGGTGCAAGCTTTATTAATATATTTTAACTTTTAAAAAAAATAATTTTTTTAAAAAAAAAATTAAAAAAAATTACGAAAATGCCATTTGACCGTGTCCGACACGGTCAAATTCGCGTGTCGGAATGGTCAACGTGTCGGAAAAAGTCAACCGCATGTCTGACACCGTGTCGGAGCGTGTCGCCGTGTCGGAGCTTGTCGGACTCGACTCTTCCTGTTTTTACAAGTGTCTATGCTTCCTTGATTTCAGCAATTGTGCAAATACAGGTTACGGCTTAACCCAGCCAAATGCGCGTTTGGAGTACCTGCTGGAAAATTTTCTTGTTTTGTTGTGTGATAAGGTCCAAGAGATGTTGGGGTGTCGGTGGGTCATCTAGATGGATGGGAATTGGTGCCACTGAAGAAGCTGATTTTTCACGGGAAGCAGGGGTCTCCTTCCGCTTTCCTTTGGAACCATTCTGGGATTTGCTACGGGTATCAACCATGTTTTTAGAAGAAGATGGGTTATAACTGATAGATCCCCACAGACGGCACCAATGATCAGACCAGATATGGAGTGGGCTGGCCAAACTGTATCAAGCCTGATCACACACGGTTGAGATATGGGTTTTAGTGCTTGGTCTTGGGCCTTCAGTCAAGATGGGATCAATTTGCGTATCTGCCCTTTGCGGTAGCGCGTTAAGTCTGACTGGGGGGTACCTGCGAAGACACTCCGATGCTTAAGTCAGTATCAGAGGCAGGTGATGTATGTTGTTAAATGTAAATGATGATCATACCTGGGTGTTGAACCCTTTGTTTATATAGTAGTTATGATGCCGCCTTAGCAAGGCAGCTTGGCTTCTGATTGGCCAAGTTTGGGTTGCAGGTCAGTACTAGGATCTGAGTTGCCTTATCTTTGTTAGTGTCTAGTTGTAGAGTCGCGGTAAGCTGGAGCTGTCCGTTGCTTATTGGCATAAAGGCGCGGTGGGATTGCCTTGGAAGTTAAGTTTGCTTACTTGAGGGGGTTTCATCCGCGATATGGTTATCGCGGCTTATCTGTCGCGATGAGGGCATTGCGGCTTACGCGCGATAGTTGTCTATCGCGCTTGCTCTGGATCCTTGGTGGGTTGGGCTTTTTTGTATGTCATTGGGCCTCCATTAGGCCTATATTTTATCCGGATCAATAACTTTTATCTTGTGAGTTTGTTTCGTTGTTTTGCCCTATATCTTTTAATATATTTATTATATAATCTAATATAAATTAACTTTAACCGATTAAACCAATAACCCACCAGTTGAATTATTAACCCAATGACCTAGTATTAGTTTTAGTTTAATAGCTATGACATATATTATATAGGGGAAAGATCCGTTCACAATTTTTTTTTTTATAAATTACACTAAGTACGACCGGTCATACACTCTTGATTAGTGTATGACTGGTCAGACATAGTATAGTTTGTAAATATAACCTTCCTCTAGTATATATCATTATATAACTTTGGTTGATCACTGATTGAACTGTGTCGCGTTAATTTGTTATTCCAACCGAGTCTATAAACGACTCGAGTTTAATAATATCGATTTTTTTAGTTTCTTATTTAAACATGTTAACCATAATAATAATTTTAAGTATTTTTTTTATAATTTCATTGTTCTAGTATATGAAAATCAATTATAAATAGAATAATGTATTTTTCTTATACTAGTTAATTTTTTATGAATTTAATTATGATGCACTGTCAAGTAAAACACGCCAGTGTTAATCTAGATGTATAAATAATATTACTCTTGTTAATTATATTGTGTATATTACACTAAATAAAATTACATTCCCGCCAATTTATTTAGCATTACAAAAACAAACTTTAGTATATATTCCCTATATTGAAATCTGATCACCTAAAATTGCAAAAATATATGAACTCGTTGCCTAATTAAGAAATAGATCATGCAAATCGTAATTATACGCAAAAATTAAAGTAGGAGAAATGCAACATTCGTTTCTTCAATAAGAAAGGAACTAGTAAACAATCATCATGCGCATGATGTCCTAGCCACCTCTAGATGCATCAATATAAAATAGAGTGTTTCTAACAAGAAAAAAATAAAATAAAATAACAAAAAATATGATATGAAAACACGTAAAGATTGTGAACTGTTAATGCATCCAAACTTAATAAAAGAAAACTCCTTTCATATATTTTGGTCTTAAACATGATATAAAAAGGATTAGATCATAATTGAAAACAGGGCAAGAATTCAATCCACTCATCACAAAATGCCTCTTAGGAACATTGCAAACAAAGGGTGTACTTGAAACAAACGAGTTTTCTTTGTTTAGTTCAAGCAATTGATATAAGAAAATGGTTTTGGCCACATTTATCTCAACCTTACTTCTAATAGCACTAGCCTCTAAAATCATTCGTTATTGGCTCATAGGAAAGTCTCTCTCTTTGCACAAGAACAAGGAGCTTCCACCTGGCCCACCAAGGTGGCCAATTGTAGGTAACCTCCTCCAATTAGGGAAACTCCCACATAGAGATTTGGCATCTTTATGTGACAAGTATGGTCCTTTAGTTTATCTGAAATTGGGTAACATTGATGCTATTACTACTAATGATTCTAATATTATACGTGAAATACTTCTTTGCCAAGATGATGTTTTTGCCTCTCGACCACACACTCTTGCTGCTGTTCATTTAGCATATGGGTGTGGTGATGTTGCACTAGCCCCTCTAGGTCCTCATTGGAAGCGTATGAGAAGAATTTGCATGGAACATTTGTTAACAACCAAGAGGCTTGAATCCTTCTCAAAACATCGTCAAGATGAAGCACAACATCTTGTCAAGTATGTTTGGGCTCGGGCCCAAACAGGAAAGCCTATTAACTTAAGGGAAGTTTTAGGTGCTTTCTCAATGAACAATGTTACTAGAATGTTGTTAGGAAAACAATACTTTGGGTCTGAATCTGCTGGCCCCAAAGAGGCTATGGAGTTCATGCACATAACCCATGAGTTGTTTTGGTTGTTGGGTGTGATATATTTAGGTGACTACCTTCCAATGTGGAGGTGGGTGGATCCTTATGGGTGTGAAAAGAAAATGAGGGAAGTGGAAAAAAGAGTGGATGACTTTCATTCCAAGATTATTGAAGAGCATAGAAAGGCTAGGAAGGATAAGAAGGGGATAGCTGAGGAAGGTGAAGAAGATATGGATTTTGTGGATGTTTTACTCTCTTTGCCAGGTGAAGATGGAAAACCACGCATGGATGATGTAGAAATCAAAGCTTTGATTCAGGTATTGGCACTTTTTTCCATTTTTTACTTTTTGGGCTCATTTTCTATTGTTTAACACTTCATGAATAAGATAAAGCATTGTTTCTCTCTCTCTAAACATTGTAGATAATTATTGACCACCTAAATTTAATTTTCAACCTATTTCCCCATTAATTAAGTTTAATAGTGCAAGTTAAACCTACTATACTACAGTAACAAATTTGGAGCACGTTCATTTTAGACCAGTATAAGAACAATACATTCAATCTTATAACATATTAATGAGAGATTTTATACTTATAACATATTTTTTCTTATAACATATTGAGAGATTTTATACTTATAACATATTTTTTCTTAATACATTCAAAAAAAAAAAAAGAACAATACATAATGAGAGATTTTATACTTATAACATATTTTTTCTTTCAATCTTCTACAATTACTTTTATTCTCGTTGGATAAAAATAAAATCACATTCAAATCTTAAATGTTAATAATCTATTTACATATAATAACTTTAATTTATTAGTCACTTGGACCGCTGGATATAAATGAGATCAATAACTAAGATTAAGAATGTATCTTAATCATGTAAAAAAATGATGTCATTTGTAAATAACTAATTTAACCCAAAAACTTAAATTAGTGGATGAGGCTACATTAATTAATTATTAATGTAAAGAACCAATGTACAGGCCCATTTACCCGTGCTAATAAACTTCATAAGAATTAATTAAGGGATTTGCATCTATCATGTCACATGGCACAAAAAAGTTTCCTACACACACAATATTTTGTGGGACCCACACCTTTTAAAGCAAAATAAAAATAAAAATTAAGACACACAACGAATCTTTATAATATTACACAATCAATTTTCCTACAACATAACTCTTATAAAATTCATTAATTAATTATTAATTAAATGGGGGACAGTGAGAATCGATCCGGTGACATCGAGGCTCTAATACCATGTAAAGAATCAATTCACGTAAAAAAATCAATTCAATCTAAAAGCTTAAATGGTTGAGTGACACTACATTTATGATTTTATAAATCTGTAACACTCTTATAAATTTAAGTAATTGTTATTATTTTGTATAATTATGAAAATAATGATTGGCAATGTGTAGGACATGATAGCTGCTGCAACAGATACTTCAGCGGTTACAAATGAATGGGCAATGGCAGAGGTAATAAAGCATCCACATGTTCTCCACAAAATCCAACAAGAGCTTGATGCAGTAGTTGGTCCCAATAGAATGGTAACAGAATCTGACTTGACCCAACTTAATTACCTACGATGTGTTGTGCGCGAAACATTCCGTATGCACCCAGCAGGGCCATTCCTTATTCCACATGAATCTCTTCGTGCTACTACCATCAATGGTTACTACATACCTGCCAAGACACGTGTCTTCATCAACACCCATGGTTTGGGACGTAACACTAAGATTTGGGACAATGTTGAAGAGTTTAGGCCAGAGAGACATTGGCTAGGTAATGGGACTAGAGTTGAGATAAGTCACGGAGTGGACTTCAAGATATTACCTTTTAGTGCGGGAAAGAGGAAGTGTCCTGGGGCACCACTTGGAGTGACTTTGGTTTTAATGGCTTTGGCTCGACTCTTTCATTGCTTTGATTGGGCACCACCAATGGGTTTAAATCCTCAAGATATAGATACTAAAGAAGTTTATGGAATGACTATGCCTAAGGTTGAGCCCTTGATTGCTGTTGCTAGACCAAGATTAGCAAAGCATTTGTATAATTAGTTTCAAGGCATTTCGAATTTGGAATAATTTGACAAGTCTAATAAACAAATGTTGCAAGTATTCTATCAATAAGTTGAAGAAAAAATGTATGAAAAAGGAAAATGTTGTTTAAATATGTTTATGGGTTTTATAAGAGTTATGTTATAGGAAAAGTGATTGTGTCATGTTACTGAGATTCATTTTTCGTGTCTTAGTTTTTTTTTTTTACTTCAAAAAATACGGACCCCACAAAATATTGTGTGTGTAGGAAACTTTACCATGTCATGCCAAAGGACAAACGAAAACCCCTATGTTTATAGTGTTAATAATTGTCAGATTTTTTTAATAGCATAAAAAAAATACAAATATTTTAGTTATTTACATGTACATAAAATTTAAATAGGAGTATATGCATGTATGCTAGTCCGGGTGATAAGGAATTTGATTTCTCTTATATAATGCCTCAAATTCAAGTTTTGTGAATGAAAAAAAATAAATGTTGGGAGAGATTATCTCTTATAAGTCACGGGCTTATCCAACTCAATCATGATATAATTGAAAAAACCATTTCAAATTTAAAAGAATCACAAAGCATATTAATGTAATGAGAGATGGCAATTTTTAGCAACACATTGACACGACATAAACAATTAAGGCACGAGAAATTCATGTTCAGATCGATTTATTTTCAAATTTATGTCACAAAAAGTATATATCGTGTTACGTGTCAACTCGTAAAGACGAAATTGACCCTCAATAATCGTTTTACAGGTTATTCATATTGTGTGTTGTCTCGTGCTATGTCAACCCACATAATAAGTGACACACTTTGAAATTGCTTTATTTGATTGTGCTCACTTGCATACCAATACATTTCCTTGATCATACACTTGTACCATCATTGTGATTTGCTTATCTTAAATCAAACATTGAAAAAATAGATTTTCAAAATAGGGGAATAGATATTTTCCAAATTTTTTTTATAAAACACAATTTACTCTCCTCTTGAATTTTGAATTGTCAAATCGTTTAATATCACATGCCAAGAAAAATATTTATATAATATTTTTTATTGAAATTAGCACTTTTGATGGCACCATAGAGTGTAAAGGCTTTTAGTCTAACATTTTACATAAAAAATTTGTAGAACTTTTCATTTGGACTTTAATATTAGTATTGCATGTTGGAGATGTGAACTTTTGGAATATATTTGGCTAATTGATCATTTCGTTCTTATTTAAATTTTTTACCATTTTGTTCCTCTTCTCAAACTATATATCAATATGTCTTAGAAAATGTGAATCATTTCATTCATGGAAAATATGAAGTTACAAATGAAGCCTTTTGCTGTGTTTTCATTATATACATCATCTCTAAACACGAAGAGAAAAATAACTAACTAACAGCAAGGTGTACACGTCAGCTAACAAACTAACTGACTAAAAATAACCGATTGCTATATACTAGCTAACTGACTCACTATTATCAGTATTGGAGTATGTTAACATCCCTCCGCAAGTGGGACTATGTATGCTCATAAGTCCCAACTTGGAGACAACATTCTGAAAAGCAGTAGCATATAAAGTTTTGGTAAAAACATCAGCTATTTGACTTGCAGAAGGTATAGGCAGTAAGTGAATGAGGCCATTTTCTATCTTTTCACGAACCACATGGCAGTCCAATTCTACATGTTTAGTACGTTCATGAAAGGAAGGGTTATGTGCAAGATATCTAGCAGATGCATTGTCACAGTAGACAGAAATAGGCTGAGATACAGGAAAGCAAAGATCATTAAGCAGGTAAGATAGCCATTGAAGTTCATAAGAGATGCTTGCCAAAGCTCTATACTCAGCTTCACAAGAAGATCGGGACACTGTTGTTTGTTTCTTTGATTTCCATGAAACCAAAGCTGAGCCAAGGAAGACACAATTACCAGTTATGGATCTGCGAGTATCGGGACAACAAGCCCAGTCCGAGTCAGAAAAACCAGAAAGCTTGAGACTATTTGTTGATGGGAAGAAGAGACCAACAACAGGAGAATTCTTAATAAATCAAAGAATCCTTAAGGCTGCAGTTTGATGCACTTCTGTGGGAGCAGCCATGAACTGACTCAACTGTTGAACTGAATGAGAAATGTCAGGTCTTGTTGCTGTAAGGTAGAGAAGTCTTCCAATAAGACGACGGTATGAAGAGGGATCAAGTAGAGGAGTTCCTATGGAGCGTCCAATTTTTAAGGAGGCATCCATTGGTGTAGAAACCGGTTTAGTAGCAAGTAAATCGCTGTCATTTAGAAGCTCCAAAGCATACTTTCGCTGATTAAGTATGATGCCTTTCCTTGAACTTGAAATCTCAAAACCAAGAAAAAATCGGAGTGATCCAAGGTCTTTGATGCAAAACTGTTGATCAAGGAAGGCTTTAACTCGTTTGATTTCAGCCATATCATTTCCTGCTAAAACTACATCATCTACGTAGACAAGCAGTGCAGTAAAGGAAGACCCATGTTTAACAATAAACAGAGAGTGATCAGCTGAAGATTGGACATAGCCAAGCGATGAGAGAGCTGCAATGAGCTTTGAATGCCATTGCCTACTGGCTTGCTTAAGACCATATAATAATTTCATCAACTTGCAAACTTGGTTTGGTTTCTCACTGACAACACCAGGTGGTAAAGCCATATATACATCCTCATGGAGGTCCCTATGTAAAAAGGCATTATTGATGTCCAATTGTTCAAGGTGCCAATCATTTGCAGCAGCTATAGCAAGCAAGATTCTCACTGTTGTTAACTTAGCCACTGGAGAAAATGTTTCGAGATAATCAAGACCTTCAACTTGAGTGTATCATTTTGCCACTAACCTGACTTTGTGTCTTTCGATAGTCCCATTTGCATTATACTTTGTTTTATAAACCCATTTACATCCAATGGGTGTTTTGTCTCTTGGAAGATCAACTAATTTCCAAGTATTATTTAGAGCAAGAGCCTTTAATTCTGCATCCATGGCATCTTTCCAGTGGAAGTGTTTGACTGCCTGATTGTAAGAGGCTGGATCTACCTGTAATGAAACATTAAGATAAAATCTTTTGAATTTTAGAGAACAATGATTATAAGTGAGGACATCATGTAATGGATATTTGGTGAGGCTAGAAGAAACTTCGGGTTTCTGATTTTGAGTTGTCTGTGAAATGTTGCAATGGAAATCATGGAGGTAAGTAGGAGGGTGTCTAGGCCTTGAAGAACATCTAAGTTGGTGGTCTTGAGGTGAATGAGGCAAATTCACCTCACTGGAGTTGGGACTGTCATCCATTGAATGTTGAGTTATTGGTTGGGGAGGGACATTATTGGAAGGTTGTGGTGGTTCATCATTGGAAGTGGGTTCATATATGATTTATGAATGTTGTGGAAGTATGGAAAAATGTATGGGATCTGTATTAGGTTGGTCATGTGAACTGGAAAAAGGAAAATGGATTCATAGAATACTGTGTTTCTGGATATGAAAATTTGTTTGGAAGAAATATCATACAAGATGTGTCCCTTAGTATTTTCTGATTGGCCTAAATAAGAACATTTGCGTGCTCTAGCTGACATTTTGTGTCTTTGAGATGATAAAGTGGAAGCATAAGTGAGACAACCAAAAACCTTAAACTTGATCAATGCAGGTGGTTTGGAATGAAGAATTTCATATGGTGATTTCTGGTTTAACAGTGGAGTAGGCAAGCTATTGATAATGAAGACAGAATGAAGTACTGCATAATTCCATAGAGAATGTGGCAAAGATGCTTGAAATGCAAGGGCTCTTGTGGTGTTCATTATATGTTGATGCTTCCTTTCTACAAGACCATTCTGTTGTGGTGTCTCAACACAGCTGGTCTGATGAATAATTCCTCTGTTAACATACTCTGATACTGATAATAGTGAGTCAGTTAGCTAGTATATAGCAATCGGTTATTTTTAGTCAGTTAGTTTGTTAGCTGACGTGTACACCTTGCTGTTAGTTAGTTATTTTTCTCTTCGTGTTTAGAGATGATGTATATAATGAAAACACAGCAAAAGGCTTCATTTGTAACTTCATATTTTCCATGAATGAAATGATTCAGGTTTTCTAAGATGGTATCAGAGCTTTGAAAAGCTCTGGTCCATCCATCGACTTCTGCAATCAATACTCTGTTTCCTTTTCTTTTTCACTGCTACAATGGCAGAATCAAACCAAATTTCAGATCCCTATTATCTTCACCCAAACGAATCTCCATCTTTGATCCTAGTTACTCCATCGATGAATGGAAGGAATTATCACTCTTGGTCACGTGCAATGAAGGTGGCTCTAACTTCGAAGAACAAGCTTGGCTTTGTGAATGGTACTATAACTGCTCCATCATAAGATAATATGAAGTATGCAGCATGGGAGAGATGCAACATGATGGTGCTGTCTTGGCTCCATCGTTCAATAGATGATTCAATTGTCCAGTCTATAATCTGGATCGACAAAGCAAATGAAGTTTGGGACGATTTGAAGGATCGGTTCTCATAATCCGATATGTTTCGGATCTCAGATCTCCAAGAAGATCTATATCAAATGAATCAAGGTGACAAAACTGTATCAGAATATTTTACAAGTCTGAAAACTCTATAGGACGAACTGAGCAACCTTAGGCAACTTCCAACGTGCACATGTGGAAGTTCAACCAAGATTCATGAATACAGAGAAGGAGATCAAGTCATAAGGTTTCTGAGAGGTCTTAATGAGCAATTTGCTCGTGTTAGGTCTCAAATCATGTTAATGACTCCTCTTCCAACCATCAACAAGGCGTTCTCTCTAGTTATGCAACAGGAAATACAACTTCAATTAGATGTTCATGGTGGAAATGCATCTGAGACAAAAATTTTGCAAGTTCCACAGAGAATTTTCGTGGTCGTGGCTCTTCATACAGAGGAAGAGGAAGGTTCAATGGAGGAAGAGGACAAATCTCATGTGACATCCCTCGAAATTAGGAAAAACTAATACAGATTACGCTAATCTCATGGTTAC